TTCTCTAACCCAAGCCTTTCCCCTCCCCAGGCAGAGAAGGAGGGGATGTTCCACCGTGGCCTGGGGCTGAACCTGACCAGCGGGCAGTACACAGCCCCCATCGCGGGGTACTACACCTTCACTGCCAGGCTGCACATCGGTGAGCCCTCGGGCACCCCCAAGCCCCTACTGGCAAGCGCAGGACAATACTCACTCTCCTTTCCGTCCCAGCACGCAGAGAGCAGCAGAAGAAGATGCAGTCGTGCAGGGGGAACCGTCTGCGGGTGCTGATCTGCGTGCAGTCCCATTGCCAGCACAACAGGTACAGCAGAGCAAAGCCAGGAGGGGAGAAGGGACCGTGAGCTGGGGAGGGAGGAAGGAGACCAGCATGCCCAGAGGAACGAGGAACATGCTCTCCCCAGCACCATCCTCCCTCTTCTGCAGCAATTTGGAGACCACGTCCCAGCTGGAGAGTGGCAGTGACCTTTTCACCATCTCTGTCACCGGAGTCCTGTACCTGCAGGTCAGTGGTGCCAGCTGTGCTTGGTACTGTGCCAGGCAGGAAGGGGCTGTCCACGGCCCCAGATCCAGGGCTGAGTAGAAAGTCCATTTCTCAGCCTGGTTCTGAGCCCAAAGGACACTTGGGGTTGAGGTCTGCTGGGACACTAGAGCACATACCATGTCGGGGGCTGCCCTGCTGGCCTCTGGGTCATCCTTTTCCCAGAAGGAAGGGGGGTTAAGCAGCCCCCCCAGCTCCTGACTGCTGCACGCAGGGGAGAGCTCTCTCCTTCCTGCTCTGCCAGGCTGTGCCCAGAGGAGGTGTCCTAGCCCCATTAAGCTCTCTCGCTCCAGGCTGGTCAGTATGCTTCTGTTTTTGTGGACAACGCCGCGGGCTCTCCCCTCACCGTTCAAAGCGGCTCCGATTTCAGTGCCGTTCTGCTGGGTGTGTGAAAGGACTCGGGACATCGCCCAGGGGGCTGAACCTGCGCCAGGATTGGCGAGACCCTCCCCTCTGCCAGCCACTGTCACGCCTCCCCTGGTCAGCACCAAACACAGGAAGACCTTTTGCTGCTGCAGGAGCTACAGGATGGTCCAATCTGACGCTGCTTATGCTGCAGAACTATCTAAAGCTGGACAAAAGATCAAGGAGGAGAGGATGATAATAATAATAATACAAATAAAAACAATAAACCAGCCTGACAAGGAGCTAGAGGACTTCACTTTTATCTAAAGGCCAGGACTGGAAATCTACCTGTGAAAACACTGCTGACAACAGCAGTGGGCAGCTGCTTTCTTTGCAGGGCTCAGCTCCTGTTGTGCTGGGTGCTGGTGCCTGGGAGGAAGCCCCTTGCCTCCATTTTTGCTTTCAGATTTCCCTGCTCAGCTTCTCAGCAGCCCAAAGTGGATTATTCCTATTTAGCTTCTCTGCAGTGTATCAGCAGTGGATGCTTGCTGCTGTCAGAAGCCAACATCCTTTGCAGCTTATCTTCAAAGCAGAGCCGTGTCCTGATAACGCTGCACATAAAAGCGAGTTCCTGTCCCGTGGTTTCCCACAGCAGGTGTTCCCTGCCCGTGGCACAGGGCCCAGGCCGTGGGCAGCACAGATAGGCTCCTTGCTTTGGCTCCAGTAGCCATCTGGGCCACGGATGGGCGCAGGGCTACGTGCCTGGGCGAGGGCTGCAGGAGAGGTACCCGGGCAGACTGGGCGTGGGGCAAGGCAGCCACGCGTTTTGTTTCTTAGTATCACGTAGCACTAGGGTGAGCTGTGCCAGGAACACTGCAAGATAGCCTGAACTGCAGCCAGCCCCACCTTCCCCCAGGGAGCTGCACACGCAGGGGGGAGGCAGCCTGCTCACTCTCCACCCTGCTCAGGAGGGCTCTCCTGGCTTCGTCGGGCCTTCTCCACAGGTTGCATCTCCTCAGCATCTGGCTGAAGATTGGTCGAGATTGGTGAAGGTTCTGCTGCTGCAGCTCTTTGTGGGTGGGGTTGTTTGGATCTGAGGGGGAATCTCTGGCTGTGTAGCTTTAATGCTGACTTCTTCCCCAAGGCAAAGAGAACCTGTCTCTGAAAGATGTGCTTTTCCTCCAGCTGAAGAGGTGGGCAGGAGCATCCTTGCAGAAGCCTTGTCTGCAGCTCCTGCCCAGCTGGAGAGCTCAGTCTGGGCAGCACCTCTCAGTGACTACACGTGACTGTGAGCCAAGGTGGTCTTGCTCAGATCAGCCACCTTCCCCTCCTACTAAACCCAGCTGAGAAGACACAAAAGGACTCACTGTTGGAGAGTGGGCTTGTTGAGCTGGTAAGCTGTCCTCTGTGAGCAAGATACAAAGAGCCCAGTGCACTTGAAGACAAAATGGGAAAAGCTGATTTAAGCTGAAGCTACTGGGAGGCTAATTTAGTTGTTGAGAGGGGGGGCTAGAAGCTCAATGAGCCCCAAGAGAGGGACACTGCATGTACAGCACTTCTGCATGTGCATCCTCAGGGTGGCAGTTCCAGAGCTCCCCACAGTGCAGGATGCTGCTGAGCAGCAAAAGTTTCTTTTCAGGGAACCTCTTGCAGACCCCACCCTACCAAGAAATACAACTAGTTTTTAGACTTCCTCTAAAGCTGGAATTGAACCTGCCTTTGTAACTAGCTGGATACCCACAAGTATGATGAAACCTGCTCCAAAATGCTTCTTATTCCTCTTTGCCCTGAAAAATGGATGATACAATCCATTTTATGGAAATTGTTGTTAACTGTACCATAACACTGCATATTATGTTCCTAGTTGGAGTGGTCCTTTCAGAACTTTTCCTAAAGGGAAGGACAGAAGAGTTTTAAGAGGAGGGAGGGGGAAAGAAGACAGATTAGGATAAACTGATAGTTCTCTCACCAGCTCTTGCACTAAGAGGGGCCTCCTGGAGGAAGCAGCAGAGATCTGTACTCTGCTCAGCTCTCATGGCACAGCACACAGCTCTCCCCAGTGCACAAACTGTGGAAAGCAGGGAGGTGGGAAGGGAGGGCAAGCTGCCCTTCCAAGATCAGCAGTCAGTTTCTTTTTGCCATAGACTGAATAAACTCTGTGCTACTCCATCATGGCTCTCCAAATTTGGCTTTCAAGAGCAGAAGCTGCAGAGCATGTTGCCAACGTGGGCAATTGCCTCTCAGCTCATCCTGCAGCGTACAGCAATAAACTGGCAGAGACAAGCACTACCCAAATATGCACTGAAGGCCCACTTCCTTCCTCAGTGCTCTGCAGGAGATGCAGAGAGTTGGTGACCTAGGCCAAGTTAGCCTGCCCATTAGCATAAGCCCATGAACTTTAACTGACTTCTGCTGTAACAGACGTAGATGAAAGTCAGTCAAGCCACCTGTCCCAAAAACAGGATAGCTTTTGCATGCTCAGGAAAACATAGCCCAGGATTTGGAATCATCTCCCAAAGCTCCAGGGAACAGGAAAGAGCCCAGGAAGCCTCACAGCACTGCAAAGGACTGTGCACAAAACTGCAGGCCTCACTGGATCAACCTGCACCCTCTCTCATGCAGAACAAGGAGGCTGCACAAGAAAGTGGCTTATCTCCCTCACTGCACTGTTTCACTCACAGCACAGGAAAATCAGGTCATCTGGAACATAAGTGCTTTGGCAGCCCAATCCATGTAGCTTTCATACTGTTATTTGGTCTTAAATCTAAAGTTTCTCTGGAAAACATAACACCACTTCACTGCAGCAACAGGTGGTAGACCAATGGGGATGGGATGAAAAACCAGACACTTAACAGCAACAAGTACCTAAAACCCAAGAAGGCTGCTCCTCAGACAGCACACAGACAAGCAGAGCCCCACCTTACCTCAACTGCCTGGCAGGTCAATTTGATGACAACACTTTCCTAATAAACATCAGGAGCAAACTCCAGCCACTTCTGCTGTATCAAAAACTAGGATAAAACCCCATCATCTTCTGCAAGCAGAGGGAAGGTACACTGCTGCTCTGCAAGTGGTTTGCATCACTCAGCTGCATACAACCCCACAATCCAGCTTCAGAACTAAGAGGTTTCCTTCCCAGCACTTCAAGGACAGCCCACACTTGTCTGTACAGTACAGCCTGACCAGGAGCTCCCACAGTCCTAAGAGCTCAGAGCCTCTGTGCGAGGCTCTTCTAGGGCCTCACGCAAAGCTTAAAGAAATAAATAGCAGAACTGCACCATTTGGAACAACTTGGCAGAGTTCATACCCACAGATGCTTCCTCTTACTAGCACCTCTGCTGAATAGATTTATTTGGTGTGCCAAGACATTCGCAGGGGTTTGACAGGTTTCCAGATAGGCCGATCCACCGGGGCAGTCCCTTAGAAAACACTGCTAGCCGACTGTTAGAAAAAAAACAACCAAACTTTATTTACACTGAAGAGCACCCAGCAGGACCCTCCTTCCCCTGGCCACACATGCACAGACTCCTCCCTTCCCTTCCCTTCCCTGGCGTGTGCTGGGAGCCGAGGATGCCGGGGGCGCCCTCAGCGCTCTATCCGCACCAGCAGCACGGTGACGTTGTCGGCGGAGCCACGCTGCACAGCCTTGTTTGCCAGCCTGCCACAGGCAGCCTCGTACCGAGCGTCGGCCTCCAGCTTCCCCTCTCTCATCTGCACGTTCTTGTCCTGTTGGAAGGGGGATAGGTGGCGCCAGGCACTCCCAGCAACGCGGGGAGGGGCGAGCGCACCCTCATTTCCAAGCACGGCAAAGCAAAACCGTTAAGGACACCTCGGGTGTAAGGGAGTCTACCCTTAATTTGGTATAAGGGAGTATACCCTGGCAGAAGTAAATTCCTGTGTCAGCATCATTCCATTTTCTGCCCCCTGCACTGACAAACCCAGCCCCACGCTCCTGCCTCCTCACCTCCAGGCAGGACACAATGAAGTTCACAGCTTCTTCTGGTGTAAAGACTTTAAAGAGGCCGTCGCATGCTATCAGAATGAACCTGGAAATCAAGCAGAGACAGGTTCCAAGGCTGAATCATTGGCCCTACAGCTACAGCAAAATCCCTCTAAGCTATTTTATGAGTACCCATGCTCCAATCCAAAGGGAAGATTTCATAAAGCTCATCTGAAAATCCCTCGGAAGCACCAGAAATCCTCTGGTGCTTCAGGACCTACCATTCACAGAGCTGAGGCAATTCAAAGTACAGGGGGAAAAAAGCAGGCAAACAACACAAGACCTAGGTCAGGGTATTCTGGCAGTCCTACTGACTCTGCACTGTTAGGCAAGAGCATATCCCACACCCTGCTGGAAAGCTCCATTATTTCTCTAGGGACTGCTTTTCTTTTGAGTTCTTTTCATTCACGTATTTTCCCTGAGAAGTAGCTAATGCAAGGAAAGAAACACAGCCAGCTCAATACCTCATGTGCATCCCTTTAAATCCTTTACATTTCCATGCTCCCAAGGTATGCAATAACTGAAATAGAAACACTCAAAAGGAAAGCAGGCAGCATAACCCAGAAATAGAGGTGCAACCATGATTAGAAAACTCTGCCAGAAGTTATGGCCACAGGCTGCAGAAGGGATACAAGGGGAAGGAGAGCTGCCCCTTGGCATGCCAGCAGGGGACAGGGGGGACAGCCTGCTGTGCACTCCCTGCCTGCACAGGGGACTGTAATAACCAGGAGTCCTAATCAAAGTCATCAGACAAGGAAAACCACAACCATCCTACAGAGATGGTCAGCCTGCCAGAGCAGCACATGGCTCTAAAGATGTTCTTCCAGAGTCTGATGCTCAGAATACCTTCAGAAATATTTTAGTGGATCACTTGATATGGCAATCTAATCCCAAAAAAGCAGCAGTACTGGGTTACATTCTCAACTCAGAGAGCCTGCAAGGCCATACTGACATGAAAGCTCACAGCAATTTGTCATTGCCAATCATACGTTAGAAAACTATCTCAAATCTTCAAATATCAGAGCCGAATGTAAGGGTATTTGTGGGCACCACAGCTGCTAGAAAACTCTTAGACAGGACAAGGATCCAAGCATTCAAGCCTTAACCAACTGCTTGAACACTGCAGAGCATTAAGTCTAAGGGATATGTTATCACTGCTGCAAGGCCAGTTCCTCTGACACAAGCCTTCACAGCATCTCTCCAGGCTGAGGCAGCAGCATTTATCCCACTATACTGATAAGGAACAGGAACAGAGCTGTCAGCAGCGAGAGCATCCTCTAATTCTGGGTGACCAGCCTGACATGTCTTGGCCCTAACAGCAGAGCCTATGGGGTCGTGCTGCCACTCCAGAGAGCAGAGGGGGGAGGCAGGTGACCCCAGTGTGTGTGGGCAGCTTACCTGTCGTTGTGTGTGAGCTGGCAGCGTTTGATGTCCGGGACGGAGATGACCCCGCAGCGCTTGTACTGCCCATCCCCGATGGAGCGGGACACCTCCAGCACCCCCAGCACTCTGCCGTCCCTGCACCGAGTAGGAACACACCAGATGGCTCAACTTCCCTTCAACCTGTTCCAGTGCCTCACCACCCTCACAGTATCAATTTTTTTTCCTTATATCTAAGCTAAATCTACCCTCTTTAAGTTTAAGTTACTCCTCTTCCTACCACTACGCTCCCTGATCAAGAGTCCCTCCCCATCTTTCCTGTAGGCCCCCTTTAGGTACTGGAAGGGTGCTACAGGGTCTCCCCAGAGCCCTCTCTTCTCCAGGCTCAACAAACCCAACTGTCTCAGCTTGTCCTCATAGGGCAAGTAGTTCAGCTCCCTGATCACCTTTGTGACTCTCCTCTGGAGCTGCTCCAAAAGATCTGTGTCCTTCTTATACTGGAAGCTCCAGAGCTGAACACAGTAGTGCAGGTGGGGTCTCAGAGGAGTGGAGCAGAGGAGAAACATCTCCCTCAAACTGGTAGCCAAGATGCATGTGGCTTTCTGGGCTGTGAGTGCACAATGCTGACTCATACTCAGTTTTGCATCCACTGACAGCCCCAAGTCCTTCTCTGTAGGGCTGCTCTCAATCTGCCCATCACCCAACCTGCATCTGTGCCTGAGATCACCCTCAACCTTGCACTTGGCCTTTCAGAACTTCATGAGGTTGGCATGGGCCCACCTCACAAGCCTGCTGAGGTCCCTCTGGATGGCATCCCTTCCCTCCAGCGTGTTCTTCACTAACCACTGACTGCAGCAAACAGTTCTGTAAAGCCCACGTTACAATCCTCCTTAGTTTTGTTTGCTAAATTTTTCCAATTATCTGGGTGCTGCCCCAACATAAGCAGCTTCCCACAGTCCACGTTTCCCACAATTGAGCATCCTCCCCAAAAAAGGCTCTTCTTTGCACTCTGCAAAGACACAAGGTTATTCATCTTGTAGGCCAACCAGCTCCACTTGAGATAAAAGCAAGAGGCAAGGCACGTCAGAGAGAAGAGATCTGATGCTCACACACTTTGCTACTTATCTCTCAGGTCCAAAATATTGAACTACAAGCAGTGGGACAGGCTCCCAGGCAGCCAGCAAGACGTTCCCCCAATTCTGAAAAGAGCTAACAGACAGTGGCCCATCTCTTTCCTGTGTGCAAAGATAGGTCAGTGCTGAGCAGAGGAGGCAACATGTGCTCTCCAGAGATAAGGGGAACAAGGCCCTCCAGACATGGCAGTGTGACAGAACTGAGCCCACCCCTCCCCACCCTGGGGGGCATTCTGCCTTTGCAGGCACTAAGATACTTCACCTGTACTGAGTCCACTCTTGTGAGGAAGTCATTAAATCAAGAAATAGCCTTCAAAGAAGGGAGAGAACCTAACCAGGGAACTCAGAGACACCTGCCCAAACAGCCATGCACACCTTCATGCACAGGAACATTCAGATAATTCTGGTCTGGCTCCAGAAACCTCCCTCCTACTTTATAACACCTCAGTGCATCAGCTAAGGCCCAGGGGAGCAAGACCAACTGTGGGAAATAACACCACATTGGCAAGGAGGATTGTAAACATGCTCAAGGGACTTGCAGGTGGCATGTCAAAAAACACATACATCACACTAAGGGTTTTGTGCAGCTTTGCATGCTTGACAAATAGAGTATCTGTGGTTAGATAACACAGGTCTGTGAAGGACTCAGAGGCACCTTATCAAACATGCCTGAGATTCCTGCCCTGTTAGGGGAAAGACTGAAGCAAGTGAGCAGCCATATGGTGCCCAGCTCCTGCCCGGGGCTGAACCACCATGGACTGACATCAAGGGCTTCTCACATCCCTCAAACCACCCGCCCACCTTTACAGAACAAGGAGGGAGAGGTGACATTGCAAGCAAGGAAGTGAGTTCTGTTCAATGCCAGTGTGCAGCAAGCCATGGATCCTTCATCAAGTCCTTCTCTGCAGGCCCAACTCTGCAGGTCAAGCTTAAGCACATCACACTGCCAGGCTTTCACATGGGTTCCTCCTACCTTTGGAGGACAGTACCCCACCACTACTGCAAGCTGCTGGGAAACCTGCCCCCATCAAACAACTGAAGCCACTGAATCCTTAGACACTTCAGGCACCACTGTGCCTCCCACAGGCAGCAACTGATTCCCTCCAGGCTCTCACCGGCATGAGCACTAGGGTTAGGAAACTCCAGAAACTCAGTGCTCAGGCACAAAGCTGGGTCAGGGTTCAGATTTACTCACTCACACCCTTTAGGCACTCACCTGACATTTCCCCCAGCTTTCTGTATCCGCATACGCTCCTCATATTGGGTGGGGTTGTGCTCCTTGCTGAGGCTTAAGGCTGTGTGTTTCTGGCTCTCCTCGTTGTAACGACACAGAATCGCCTGTGCTGACAAAAGACCCTCCTAAGTCAACAACAAAACTGCAGCAGTGGCTTCTTGAGAGGGAGCTGCAAGCCACACTGAATGGGGCTACAAGAGGCTGCTCAAATACTGGAACAGTCTTCCTAGAAATGCAGTCAATGCCCCAAGTCTGTCAGCATTTAAGAGGCATTTGGACAATGGCCTTAAAGCCACTTTTGATCAGCCCTGAATTGGTCAGGCAGTTGGAACAGATGAACATTGTAGGTCCCTTCCAACTGAAATATTCTATTCTAGATACTGTGAGATATTTAACACCATCAGTAAAGACCTGCCACACACAGTTGTTTCACAGTATTGGAGACAACACAAAAGTACCCTGCACTTACCCAAAACAAGATGCTTTGTAGGAACAGTTGGTGAGCTCACAGAAACTGGGACAACCCACACAAACACCTTGCCCTCCAGGGCACATAAAGCTTTCAGAGGAATTGAGATGACAGAAGTGGGCTTTGCTTACCCGGCTGTCCCCAAGGTTGGCTATGTAGAGAATATTGTCAACAGCTAGGACACAAGTAGCTGTGGAGCCATCCTTCCATGCTGGCTTCCTGAAGGGAACAAACATGAGAGTAGTAAGGGGAAAATAACATTTAAGAGGTCAGTCAGAGTGCTCCTGGGGATGCAAGGAAATGTCATGTGCTAACGTGGAACAGTGAGCTAGCACAAGCCCCCAGGAGCCTGCAAACAGCTAGGGAAACTTGGTGGTAAACAGCAAGCTGGACAAGGACAGAGGAGCTGCACAGGGTGCTGCCTTCTGAAGGCATGGCCAATGCCCAACTGGTTCCAGTACTGTCAGCCACACTCCCCTCACCAGCCCTTCCTCACACTCAGCTCACAGGAAAGCTCATCTGTGGCTGGAAGAAGCTCAGTGCTGATGACTGCCCAGAAGCTACAGCATCATGAGCAAACAAGCACCCCAAATTCACCCTCAGAAGGTTCCTTCTTTGCAGCAAAAGGAAGACACAGCCAGGACTGCAGCAGAGTTGCCTTTACTTTCACCTTCATTTCCCTTCCTTTTTCCACAGTAGCCCTGTCTGCCTGCCTCAGCCCTCACCATCCCCTCAGCAGCAACACCACTTGTTCACTCACTCTCCTGATACTTCCCCTGCTGTAGTTAAACTTCCATCTCTAGAGCTCTAGGTAAAACAAGAAGCATTCCTCAGATTACAGCTGCCAGACTAGTCCTCCTCACAACAAAGTCCAGCCATGATGCCACCCACTCTTTACTGGAACTAGCCACTGATTTCCAGGCATATTTAATCTAGTTTTAGCAATCCTTTGTAGAGCCTTTGTCCTAAGTCATGTTTCAGACCAAATGGTGACTGGTCTGGGAATTACACTGTTGTGACAGACTCAAGAAAGCTTTTGCCTTTTGCCTGGTCAGACTTGAAGATCTGATTAGGTTTAGGAGACTGAGCCAGTTTGCACTTTACTTAAAATTGACAGTTTGCAGGGAACCTCAGAATCAGATGCATCAACAGCCTCTCCATCTGTGTTAGAGGTGCCACTATAAAGTTAAAAACAAGCAGCCAAGTATGTAAAGGATCTAACAAAGTGACTCTATTTTAAATGCAATCTATGTCTTCCCTAATCCACAGAGGTGGTGTGTCAGTTCAGCAGAGACTGAGAGAAGGTAATGATGTTTGCATTCAAAACCCAGCTGGGAGGTAGGCAAGCACCCCACAAAGTAGTTGCTGTGCTTTTCAGCTTTGTTTTGAAAGAATCTGTTAGAAACAAGCTTAAGGTGAGGGACATTCTTAAGCAGCAGCTCTGTCTTCAGAAGAGGTGAAGAAAGCAAGATTTAAACTGACATTTGGAGAGTTCAGTCTTTCAATGCAAGGCACTGAAAGCAGCTGTAGACACGTGCTGCAGCCTAGCAAACACTACCAGAATGGAGCTCTGAGGAACACTCCTCACAGCAGCCCCCAAAGGACTGCTCTGCAGATACCTTCCCACCTACTCTTGGTCATGTTTTGGTTCCTTCCTTTTCCACAAACATGTATTTTTGTTTAAGGGATCCTACAGACCACCCACAGGACATGTCATGATCTAGCTGTAGCAGGCACTCTGCTGGCAGAGCTGCAGCCTGGCAGAGTTAAGCTGGATGGGGTTTCCAAAGCACAGAAATGACTCAGCTTTTCCTCTGCCTGGCTCACAACTGAGACCTATGAGATGCAAGCTAAGAACCACAAACACATTGGAAGCATTCACACTTACTGGCTGGATGCCTGCTTTAGAAACTCCTCATCTGTGTGTTTGAAGGTGTCCAAAAGGCATCTCTTCACAGTTTTCTCCACGCTGACTATCTCACCTGTCAGACAGAAAACAGCAACTCAACTCCAGCTAAAAAAAACATGTGACTTATCCCAACCCCCTCCCTTTGCTCACCCAACATTCACTCAGGTAGTGCCTCTCTCAGACTCTGTTCAGAGCAGCTAGTGCACGTTCTGGGCTCACACTATGAAAAGTCTGTGCAGCAGCACTGTGGAGAATTAATTACGTGCCCCCTTCCACACAGTTGTATTTGCAGGCTTGAAGTGGCACTGCCAAAACTGGCAACAGTGCACCTCACACCTCCTTAGTGATTCACAACTGGCTACTTGCACCTTTGTGCCAAAAAGGCTTCCAGCCCTCTTCCCCAGGAGGCAGCAAGGACTTGCAAGCCCACTGGTAATAAGGAATGGGAACTGTAGAACTGCACCTAAACAAAGCAGTTCCCCTATCCACTACCATAATGTCAAGGCAGAAAGGGTGATGGTTATCCTACAGCACTTATTCCTCTGCTCTCACCTTTAGGAAACTTCTTAATCAGGTTTTGGTGAAGATTCTGTGCTGCAAATTTTGAGGCTCTGACTCCCCCGTGGCCATCAAAAACAGCGAAGTAGGAGACACGTGTGCTGTGAGAGAACAAAGAGGAGCAGAAAGGGGCTAAGAAAGGCAGTTAGCCAGAGGCTGGGATCAAGAACATTTGTGTCCACAACACCCTGCCCTGTGTCACCCACACTGGAGTAAATCCTGCACTTCAGGGCACAAACTAAGGCAGCAAGTCTCTATGATCACACATTCCAGCATCTACATGATTCACAAGTGCTGAGCTAAGAACTTTTGTCATTTTCCACCCCTCAAGAAAATGAAGGACAGAAGAGTTTATAGACTAAAACTTGGCATAAAAGCCAACATTTCACCTCAATGGCACTACAACTCCCCAGCACTACATGTATGTCAGTCTAACCAATCCTACAGTTCATTCCATGCTTAAAATTGTTGAAGCCATGCTACGGACAAGAAACTCAGATCCCTCAGCACACAAAGCTCTCAGGACAATATGAGTTCAGAAGCTAAATCCTGTATCAGGGTGATGCTTGAAAGCATTCCCTCAAACACACACACACTCCCCCTTACACACACTTTACATGCATTAATTTGCTAAGAGATTTATGCTTTTCAAAGGAGAGTTATGACATCTCTTCTCTGAGTGTTCTCCACTGCCACAGTCAGGGTTTGGCACACTGTAAAAATCCCCAAGGCAAGGCCCAATTACCTATAATTAAATATCCATGCTTACGTTTGGGTAACAGAGGTTCAAAATCCAGTTTTTGGGCCCTCACAATCCTTGTGAAGTCAGTGACCCAATCCACTGAGCAATCTGAGAGCTGTCTGTAGGTAACAGTCCTGTGATTTTTCCCAGGAGCACAGCTAATGATCAGTAACAAGCCCAAATCACACACCATCAATGCACACATAGTCAAAAGCATCAGCTGCTCAAAGCAAAAAGGAGCTCATCATGCAAGGTAAGAGGAAGCTGGAGCTCCCTGTGATGGCTGCTATCCACAGATTTATTCTGGCAGCTGGGGGCCACTTACATTTGGGAGGGCAGAGGCTGGCATTCCTCAGTGATGTCGTTTAAGATGACATGTGCATCCTGCATGTCTTCTCTTTCACCTTTCCTCTCTGCCACATAACCCTTCAGTCCAAGAATGCCCACTGACCCTAAAGGGGAACAAAGCAAACACACACATGCAAATCAAACTCCTCCATCTCCTCAGCTCAGCCTAAACCCCAGTAAATCAGTGAGCACTTTTCAGCTTCCAGAACCCTGTCCTGGCACTGCAGCAAAGCACTGCCCCCACCCTGCAACAAAACATCTGTCACCTTCTGCTGAACATGATATATTTATTCTGTAACATGGGTTTTTAAGTGCCCCCAAGGTCAGTAGCCATAAAAGCCTCCATTGTTGCAGGCAGCTGTAGCCAAGGACTGCTGGGCGTCAGACAGGGCTCTGACCAAAAAGGGGTGAGGGGACAGGAGAAATGTGTGGCACTGAGTCTGCAGGTTAAACAAAGCACAGCTTTAAAGACAGTGCTAAGGACAGGAAATCAGGCTCTGCTGTTTCCAGAACATGTCCTTTCCTTTGCACCCCTGAACCCTTAACCTAAAGCTGCAGCATAACACCTGGGCATCTGCTCTGAAGTCAAATGCCCTGTAAGTAACAGCAAGTCTCTCTCTCTGGCATTCTTAGCAGCCACTCAGTGGAGGGATTTGTGAATGTTACAAAAGAAACTGGCGTGGCTCTAGCTCTCCAGAGCCCAATGCCCCTCTTGGCAGCACAGAAACTTATCCTGCAAGTGCCAAGGTGCTTGCTGCTCAGCTTTGGACACTTGGGCAGGGCCAGTAAGAAGGCCCAGGTGAGGGAAGCAGGGAGCCCAGAGAGATCAAGGGGCTTCCACAGACTGCCACAGCAGTTGGTTTCCTACAAGAGACTGAAAACAGAAGCAGACTGAAGAACCACAGCTTAGCTTCAGCCTGGACTTACTCAGCCCAATGTCAAAAGTACAAATCGAGTACATTTGTTTTCAAACTGTCTGAAAACCTTTACAAACTTTCTTTTCCACAAGTTCTTCCCTCCCATTCTTCTCTTCCTCCTCCAAGGACTTTCTCTTCTCTCCTTTCCCATGGCTCCCTGCTGATGAGACCTGCTCGGTAGCACTGGAGGCTGAAAGAAAGCAAAAATGCAGATGGCTGAAGTCTTCCAGCTCTGTTTTACTTGCATAAATTCAGCAGCAAGCCCTGAAGCACTCTCAGGAGTGCAAGGTCCCACACACAACATTAAGTGATCAGTTATTACTGGACAAGATGTGCTGACTGACCACAAACACGCACACACCCCTTCACTCAGCAGGTACAACCTGCAGCATGTATCTCTGCCATGAGTGCCCAGTTGCTCACCTGACACTGTGAGACCCTGCCTCAGATACACTACAGTTCTCTTTGGCTAGCAGACTACTGATTCTCCCCACCAGGCTGCAGTTTCTTAGCTACCAGCCTTTTTTTTTTGCAGTTAACTGCTCAGGAAGCTAACATTTCATGTTGAAACATTTATATTTTTTATTATTATTATATTATTCCTATTATTATTACTTGTGTCTGTAAGTCATGCCCACAACACCACAAAGAAGGGCATTTTGTTACTCTGACTGTGATATCTGTTACAAGTTTCAGAAGACAGGTTACAAACTAAAGCTAGCAAGCAAGTTATGATTCCTGTGACATCAGAACCCCAGTCTTTTCCTTCTGGAGATTTATCCTAGTAAGGTATAATGAATTATCTCACCTCTTCCCAGGTGACAGCAAACACTTGGCTGCAAGCAGAAAGCCTTGCCCCACCAGCAGTTTGGTTTAAGACATTTACAGCTAGGAACAGGGAGGCAGTCTGTAACCACAGCACAAAGGGCAGTGGCAGCAGCAGTACAACACTGCCTTTGCTCTCTGCAAGCACATAGGTAGCTTCACTCCCAGAGCAGGAAGCTTGCAGGCACAGCTAATGGGGTCCCCAAAAGAGGATGGGCTTCTGGGAACAGACCCATGTTTGCTTTAAAGCATCACAGTCACCATTTAAACAATCAGGACAGAAGGAGATTGCCATGACCAGCATCAGGCAGTCTGGACAACAGCTTCATTTGCTGTGAGCCCACTGCACCAGACCACATCTGTGGGTTTTCCTGAGAAGGGGAGCCCAGCAGAGGCTTTGGGAGCTGAGCTTTCCTTACCTGCGTTGTCGCTGCTGGCTGGTGGAAGATCATCAAAAAGCAAAGAGCCTCCCTTCCCTGAAGCACAAGAAAAACACAAGAACAACTAAATAACATCTTCCCTTTGAGGGAATAATGCTCTGTGTACGTCCCTCCTAAGGTGCAAAACTGATACAATGAGATTTGATTTGCTATGATAAACTGGCAGCTTCTGTTCCTTGATGGTGGGGATGGAATCAGGACTTCTTCCAGGGAATATTTATAGGGAGCACATGTGTAACATCTATAACATTCTGGTTATCCAAAAAAAACCACCAAACCAAAACGAAACAAAAACCCACAAGAGGAGGAAAGCAGCTTCTCTTCACACCAGTGCTGATAATCTGTCTTTATCCTGTCTAACAAAGAAACGGGTCTACAAAAGTTTCATCTCAAGAGAGGCTGATGCAGAAAACACAGGAAGTGAAACCAGTGGCAGGAGCAGAGCACACATACCCGGGTCAGTGCTGCTGGCTGGTGGGAGATCATCAAAGAGCAGAGGCCCTTTCTGGGCTTCCTTCCCTGCAAGACACCAGAGCAGAGTCAGGACCTCCCACAGGTGCTCAGGGGTTGGCTTCTGCAAGGACTGCCCTCAGAACGAGCACAGGTGGGTTAACCAAGGGGAACCTTGGTAACTTTTCGTCTATCTTTAATTTAGGCAGCTCCTACATCAGCAAAACAACCACCTGTCTGTAGATTATCTGAATTTTTGTCTTGAAAACAGCTTTTTTTTCCTTTTGCTTGAAAACCACTCGGCTTGCATCAACACCCCACAGTAGCCCGATTAAAGATGTTATAGGATGGAAGGGGCCCAGAAAGCACCAAATTATCTCAGGTAACACCATTACAGCTCTCCAGGCACCCACAGCACCACAGAGAGGGGAAAGGCTCCAGCATGGCCTAACATGCACGGACAACACGAAAAAAAAA